GATGTATGTTTTGGCTAAGCATGGAAGAACATGTGACGTGGGGAATGCTAAATGCATTAACATGGCTATGGGCAGAGGGAAGGCTAGCATGGGCCTGCAGGCGAAGGCAGCAGCCCAAAGGGGAAGGCTAGGTTGAGGCCTTCTAGGAATTTCCATTTAGCAAGTTTGGATCTAGGATGCGAATGAAAAGCAGACAGAGATGGGTCTAGATTCCTAACCTGGACCCCTTGATAGCTAATTATATTATTTGCTTCGATAGCGATTACTGGAATGAGGAAAGATATAGGGCAAAGGAATTTAGTTTGGAGTTGTTCGTTTGAAGGGTGGTTTTGAAGGGGTAGTATTTAGGAGGATGATCACAGACAGCAAGAGAGAATTCCTAACCATCCGGGTGATGGTGTGGATGGTCACTGGAGGCTGAGCATGGGTGTAGTTACCTGGGGGAATGAAGTCTCCCAGCTGTGTGACCCAGTCTAAGGGAGTCATCAGACTGAGAGAGGGCTTTGTGGGTTGTGGCAGGGAACCCCCCTTTTTTTCCTGAAATACCCTAGGACAAGTGGCAAAGCCACAATGACACCAGAAAGCCACATTATGGAGTTTTCTTTGTTCTTTTGTAGTCATTACTAATTGTGACAATTTAGGTGTGTGAACATTAACTCCACCAGCCCCTTCCTTCTGAGGGCCTTTACCAGGTACGCAAACATCTTTTCAAATTCCTCTTTGTGTGGGTGATGAGACAAAAATAGTTTTGCGTATCTTCTCTTAAAGATGAGAGTGCTTTGACATTAAAATTTTAGGCTGAAAATATTGCATAGATACCAACAGGTAGTTTTCGTAAGTGCTGAAGTAAGAAGGGAGGTATTCAAATAGGAGTTCTGCTTGTGTGTGGTTTATGCTGCTCCAGTTTGACTCTTCCCTGAGGTGACAGGGTGGGACAGAGGCAGAGTAATACAAATATTTCAAGGCCCATGAGCCAGGCAGGCATAAGGCTGGGTGCCTGGCTCTCCTCAGGCTTTGGTGAGGCAGTAGTTCCGCCTCCGTTCATCTTCTGGGCCTCGCCGTCATGTCAGGAAGTCCCAGCATGTGTGTGCTGACCACAGCCCTGAATGCTCCCTGCCATTTGCTTATTAAATAAATAGATAGATAGATAGATAGATAGATAGATAGATAGATAGATAAATAAATAAAAGCTTTGGGTTAGAGAGATGTCTCTGTAGTTAGTTGCTCTTCCAGATGATCCGAGTTCAGTTCCCAGCGCCCACAATGGTGGCTCTTGCTAGCTAGTAACTTTGATGTCGGGGCATTTGGTGTCCTTTTCTGGACTCCATAGCCACCTGTGCATGCACACACACACATACACACACACACACACACACACACACACACACACACACACAGAGGCACATAAAATATTTTTAAAAGGTGAAACACCAAAAGGGTTAAGATAATCTGGAGGGCTGACAATGTGTCTTGGCTTGTAACGCAGGGACAAGGTTCTGAGCTAGATTCTCAGTACATCACAGCCACCATCCAGCTAGACTTACAGAGTGAGAACATAACACTGCATCTTCAGGAAAGGAGCAGGCTCCCACTGGAGTCCATGCATGGAGCCTCTTACTTGCTTGTTGTCACTAAGCTTGATCGATGATTTCCTTCAATGGCAGAAGATAAGGCATGTTAAAAGCAAGAGCCAGGGGCTGGAGAGATGGCTCAGTGGTTGAACGTACTGACTGCTCTTCCAGAGGACCCAGGTTCAATTCCCAATGCCTGCATGGCAACTCACAACTATCTGTAACTCCAAGATCTGACACCCTCACACAGATGTACATGCAGGCAAAACATCAATGCACATAAAAGATAGATAGATTCATTTGACACTGAATCCATCCTAACTTAGCATGTATGGAAAACCAAGTCTGTTGATCATTCCTCTTTGACGTCTTCAGCCATACTAAAGTATTTATAATGTGTAGAAAAGCCCTGGAAAGACATTTTGGTTCCCATATGTCTCCCTGTACTTGTTGAAACCTAAGGATGATATGAGCCATTGCAGGGCTTTTGGATCAAGGGCTGCTTACCTGGACGAACATCTCTGGACTATCAGCCAACAATTGATTCCTTATTCAACAACTGTCTTAGCTTTCCTCTCCTGGCAACAGCAATGAGTCACTGACAACTTTTTGGCTGCCTGAACCAACATATTGGGAATCGGCCCAGCTGCAACGTTAGTGGGCTTGTTGGGTCTCTTAGGGGCTGGTGTTGGTTGAGTGTGGAAAAGAATGACAGAGCTAGAGCCCTCAAAGATGGCTTGTGACTCGGAGGGCTACAGACTTCCATGGTGTGCGTGTGCTGATGGACCCTGGAGTCACTAGGGATCGGACTAAAGGGGTGGGAGAAGGGTGTGGCACTTGATACTCTAGGAGCCAAGACGGCACTTGGCTGTGAACTCACACGGGACAGGAATTGTCCCCAGGTCCCCAGCACGGCATGATGTTTGGCCTGTTAGAAGCTAACGTATCAATGGGTTAAATGTGGGGAAACAGGTGTGGCTCATGAGCTATGTAGGGCACATGTGTCTCTGTGTCACTCAGATTCAGAATCTAAGCCTACCACTCCAAATCCCAAATGCCAGCAAGTGTGCACCTGGCTTCTCTTGCATGCTTCCTGTGGTATTTCTTCCTTACCAGTGAGTTAACAACGGTGATATTTCAGACGGGGTCTTATGTAACCAGCATGGCCTCAGACTCACTGTATAGCTGAGAATGACCTTGAACTTCTGATCCTCCTACCTCCACTTCCTGCATCACCACATCAGGCTTATATGGTGTCCTAGACCACGCCCACGGCTTTGGACATGCTCGCCAACCATCTGCAGTCCCAGGCTAGCAAAATCACCTTAAAGAAGCAATTAAACAGGTTTCTCGAAGCCCAATAGATTATCGGTACCTTGAAAGCATGTCTGGACGGCTGTGAATTCTATTAAAATACCCTTCTGGTTTGTCAGATTATCTTAAATTATGCAGTGAAATGTGAAAATAACCAAGAGAATGGTGGCATGATCCAAGGGCAAAATGCTCTTGGACCACTTAAAATAACATTTTCAAATGGCGTTTCTTGATGGGAAAGTTGTCATTATATAATGTCACGTGGAAAAACAATACATTATATTGGCACATATGGAGGGCCATATAAATTCCTTTTGAATTGAATGAACATTTCCTTTGTAACCTTCTAGCTGTAAAAAAAAAAAAAAATCATATATAGATGTGTTCTGACTCCTGTTGTAGAAAATCATGGGCAGGTAAGTGGCCAAGACGTCTGTGGTACTCCGACGTTCTCATCCCTTTAGAGCTGCTTTGCTGGTAAACCGGGGTGACAGTCTGCTCTGGAATGCATCCCCCACCTTGTAGATGTTCCTCTGGGTCTTACACGCTCTTGAGCTATGACCAAGCACTGCCCGGACAAAGCAGCTACCGCTGAGGAGGACGCCACGGTGGGCCTCATCTTGTTTTCATGGCTTCTCCAGGTTGAACCGAGTCCTCCCCGACCTCCTATTGCTCCAGTCACTTTATGCGCTGTTGCGAGTTTCCGCCTCCCGAGCCCTCCGTGCCACTGCTCTGTGAAGAGGCCTCTTGATTTATTAATCAATTAATCAGTGCACGCTGAGGGGCTGCTCGGGGTAGTTAAACAGGGAAAACAAAATGCTGGGGCCCATCATCCAGACAGATCGTGATTAGGAACGAACCTCCCACGGACTCATCTTCCTGCCCACCACGGCTGCCCTCACTTCCTTCCCTCCACGCCACTCAGTCCAGATGGGTCTCTTCTCCATAAAAACTGACAGTGCTTTTCTGAAGGGTGATTGTGTGTGTGTGTGTGTGTGTGTGTGCTTGTATTCTAGAGGAAGATGAGCTTCATTCACTGCTCACAAGAATTGTTGAACTTGCAAACTTTGCCAGGCCCAAAACATGCCATGGCGGTTCTGTTCATCCATTCACGGACAGTACTGTCCTATCCCGATTTCCCCACAGATGAAGTCATGGAGCTGGATGGATATTACAGCAAGCACAGGGCACAGTGGCTGTACAACTGAGGAGAGGTTCAGTGCGATAAGCAAGCTGTCCAAGGTCACGAAGAACTCCAAGGTCACAAGGAACAGAACTGGAAAATATTTTGATACCTATTCACATGCCCAGAGCTGTTTCTTTACGTAATCCTATTTCTGTAGAAGTTAAAGCAAAGTAAACTTGTCTTTCACATATGACCTTGGAGCGTGAGATATGAGAGTGGGTTTGAGACAGAGGTCTCATGTCATAGCCCAGGCTAGCCTGGAACTTTTAGCAACCCTCTTTCTCACAGCTTTCTAGCGCTGCTGTGTACCGGTGTGAGTCACTACACCTGGCTGAAGATTTTTCACTAGTAGTTTTAGGTAAAGCTTGTTGTGGGCAGGGAGCACCTTAGACTAGTCAGGGAATCAGAAAGAAGATACAGAAGATGGCTCCTCACAGTGCCTACAGCGGTGTGCTGGCTGCTGGAGCGTGCTGGATCCTGGACCTGGGATCTATTAGTCAGTTTTCTTCTCTGTTGTGCTGACTTAGCACACACACTGCTGAGGCCAAAGTCTGGCAGAATAGAATCTCTGCTCCCAGTCACAAGCAGCACTTCCATTCCTTGCCAGCTCTCTGCCACCCAGAATGAGGCCTTCACCTCTACCGTGCTGGACCAGGGAGGAAGCAGGCTGTCTGTAATTCTTTAGTGGATGTAGAAGGGTCTAAAATGGTCTCCTTCAACTGAGCAATAGGGGAACCTAGAGATTGTGTTTTGTTAGTATTTTTACAGTTTCCAGTACTGAACCCTTGCGTGTGTCCTCAACCTGTTGCTTCTCCTGCTCTGGTGGCCGCTGACCGAGCAGTCAAGCCCTTGGTTTGCAGACATCTGAACTGGACTTAACACCGCTGAGTGACAAGCTATTCCTTTTCTTCTGCTTGTGTGTTCTCTAGGACCCCGCTTTCTCTTCCGTGATTCACGACAAACTCCAGGTCCCTAACACCATCAGGAAGTCCTGGAATGACCGAGACAACCGCTGCGACATTTGTGCCACACACCTGAACCAGCTCAAGCAGGAAGCCATCCAGATGGTGCTGACCTTGGAGCAGGCAGCTGGCAGCGAGCACTATGACGCCTCTCCGGGCTCACCGCCCCCAGTCTCCAGCATCCCCGCACTGGTGGGGTCCCGGCACGTGGGTGGGCTCCAGCAGCCCAGGGAGTGGGCCTTTGTGCCTGCTCCCTATGCCACCTCTACCTACACGGGCCTTGTCAACAAACACAGCGGCAAACCCAACAGCCTCGGGGTCAGCAATGGCGCAGAAAAGAAGAGTGGGTCCCCAACCCACCAGGCCAAGGTCAGCCTCCAGATGGCCACCAGTCCGAGCAATGGCAACATCCTCAACTCAGTGGCCATTCAGGCTCACCAATATCTGGATGGCACTTGGTCCCTTTCGAGAACTAATGGGGTTACCCTGTACCCCTATCAGGTAAGCACCCCTACAGGCAGGGAAGTGCAGGGTTTCCCTCGTTAAATACTGAAATGAGTACATACTCTAGATATGATAACATAGTGTATTGTCTAGCATCTGATCTAGTACCTGATAACAGGAGATTTAGAAATTAAGACGAATAGACAAGAGTGTTTTGACCCCGAGATGGCAGTAGTTCTCTTAAATTTAGGATGTTTGAAGCAATTGATGAGTTCGTCAAGGCATCACTAATAATCCAGATAATTTTATCGTTGCTTTATTGTTTATAGATGAAGGTCTGTGTTGGCATCCCATTCTCGCTGTCTGTACCATCTGAAAGGGGTGGAGAACCTCTTGTATATTAGCGGACCATCACCTTTTCCCCTCTCTGAGACATCTTTACTTATGTTGGAACTGGTCCCAGAAGGCTTTCTCCCGTGGTTTCCTCCTTTCTCCTTTTCCTTCATTAGATGCTGAAGAGAGCACATACCCTCAGGGTGTTTTATATGAAAGCAAGAGCAGGTCTTAAATCTGGGGGAAAATGGTCTTGATCCAGATGTACACTAGGAAGACGGAAGAATCTAGAGGCCAGCCTGGGCTACCGAGACAGTTCAAAGCCAGCCTGAGGTGTATAGTGAAAACAACACAACACAACAACAATGAAAATTCCCCAAACAAATGCAAACTAAGTCATCCAAGCCAAAATATAAGAAAAATAATTAGTCCATATTTTTCCCAGGGGGGGCTTTCTATTGGCTGAGGGTCGGCGTCAACAGATGTATTCTGTCCTGTGTCTGCTGTGTAGGGACCAGCACAGACCCTTGACTGTCACTGACGTGGAGAGGTGGCCACAGTCATGAGTGTTGGGAAGGTAACTGGCCTATTAGATAATCCTGGACACTTCATGAGGCCACTCCCCCATCTGTGCTGTGTCATACGAGGTGAGCAGTCTTCTTTCATCATACAGGGATCCAAGCTTCCTTGATCTCTCACCATCTCTCAGGGCCCTCAAGGGCACTCCACTAGGTCTTTTGTAACCGGCCAAGGAATGAAGGGGAGGTGCGGAGGCTCCTGAGTGGGTCTGAGGCTTGACCTGGGTGTACAGTGCTTCCGTCCATGTTCTAACTGTCAAGAATCCAGCGTTCCAGCCCCACTTCCCTGCAGGAGAAACTGGTAATGTCAGCCGGCCCCTGTGCCCAGAGGAAAACCAAACCAACTGAGGGTACACAGAGCAGTTTTGTGACATGAGGGAAAAAATCCAGGGAGGCATAAGAAGTGGCTGATAAAATTGTGCCTTATAGTTCCTCCAAATAAGTTTATTTAACCCTATAAAGCCTGTAAGGCCAGGAGGAAATAGTTAGATCTTCTTTTTATAGTCAAGGAACAGGACGCTTAGAGAAAGTGAATGACCTATGACTACACAGCCAAAAATAGATCATCACTAGCTTCCTCCTCACCTGGGAACCAATTTCCCTGCTGTGAGGCTTCCAACCTCCCTAGCTTGGCCCTGTGCAATCCCCTATCCCTCTCTTTCCCACACATGGCTTCCTTTGAGATCCAGAACAAGCAGAGGAAACAATTCTCATTTTGGCCTGCAGGGGCTGAGCAGCCATTTGACTTTTAGATGAAGTTTTTGTGTGGCTTATCTACATATACCACATTATATCATATCACCATATATTTGTAGAGCATTTAAATAGGATAAGGAAAAAGTAAGGAAACCATTAAGAAGACTTCATAGCTGACTCTTGAAAGTCACTGCCTAGGGCTGTGTGTTAGCTTGCTTTTCTTCTGGTTTTAAAATTTGTGGCCATGAGTATCTTGCCTGCATGTATGTATATGTTCCGAGTGTGTGCCTGGTGCCCTCAAAAGCCAGAAAAGAATGCCAGATCTAGAAACAGAGTTATAAACGGTTGTAAGCCAACATGGGAGCACCCAGTGCTCTTAACCACTGAGCCGTCTTCGCAGCCTCCAGGGTAGCGTTCTTTCATCACGACAGATATCAGAAATGATGCATTTGCCGAAGAGAAAGGTTTTTGAGGTTTCAGTCTGTGGTCAGCCAGCCTCTGTGGCAGTTACTTTCCTTGCTGCTCTGACTGAACACCTGACAAGACAACTTAATGAGGGAAGTTTTATTTTAGCTCATAGTTGAAAATGATACAGTCCATTTCAGCAGGGAAAGTACAGAGGCACATGGCTCCAGATAGCACGTGTCTGGGACGTCTTCCGTCCTTGCATCTCTGGACAGGGGCAAGGAAGAGAAATCTAGTTCCCCTTTGGCTTGCTCTTTTATATAACCAAGTTCAAGCTTGGACTTGGCTCCTCAGTTAATCTTACCTGAAATTAAGTCCACAGATATGGCCAGAGGTCTATTTCTCCTGTGTTTCTAAACCTTATAGCTTGTCTGTGCTGAGACAAACTATGTATTACCTCATTGCTAGGAAGTAAGAGAGGATCCCAAAGCCTGCTCAGAGCATGTCCCTAGTGACTAAAAGATCTCACATAAGGCCCTATCTCTTAAAGGTCCTACCATCTCTCAGTGACGCTGTTCTGGGACCAAGCCTTATCTATCATATGGGCCCTTGGGGAACAGTCCGTACCTAGAGCTGTCAGGAACAGAACGGGTTTTCTTTTCATCATGGATGTTTGCCTTTTTTTAAAAAATCATTTAAAAATACACAACACATTTAAATATATTTTTTTAATTATAAGAAGTAAAATGTGTTTGTTTTAAAATAAAACGGAGACTATATGAAAAAGTTCAGATGCGACGTTTGAAAGCCCACCCTGCATAGAAATGAGTCCCGTAGTCGCCCACCATTTGTAAACCTGCTATGAGACCCGGTGCTGTGGCTTGAGCTTGATAGACTGGGCACGGTTTCCTATGCTGTTATGTATTTTTCTCAAATATGATCTTTGGGGCTAAAATAGTAGCTCACGGGAAGAATGCTGGCTTAGCCCCTACATACCCTCTTTAATACTTAGCATCACAAAAAAAGAGAAGGAAAATATGATGTGTAATGTTAAGATGACATTCTCTGTGATGAAGGTGTTGTAAGGGATATAACAAGATATCAGAGTTTAGGTTTTATGAGCATACATTGCGCGCTCGGGAGCACGGCCTTCCACACAGGTGGCATTTTTACCTTGTCTCTGATAGTGCTAGCGGTATAGACTCATGTTACACAGACAATTCACATTCACATCTCACCTTCCACTCTGGAAGCCACCACAGCTGGTAGCTGGACTTCCCTAGGGAGCCGGCTGCTACACCAGTACAGACGACACAAGGACAAAGGACCACAGCTTTAGTGTAAAATACCCAGGGGTGGAGGTGCGTGAGAGGGACAATCTAGAAGGTGCCTGAAGGGACGGTTGAGGACATGGATGCATTCCTTTTATAATATATTCACAAGAGTTCTCCTTTTCTTCCATCCTGTCTCAGATGAAAGAGACTTTCCTGCACAAGAACAAGTAATTTTTAGCCCTTTTCATGGAATAGACATTGTGCTTTTTGGTAGGTGGAACTGTCTCCTTAGGCTGGAAACCGAGGTTCCCGTCCTGCTTTCTTCACAGTGAGGGAGAGCCCAGGCACACTGCACACGATGAGGTTGGTGGGTGCGTACATAGTTGGAGCCATATCAGCTTGGCTGTTCTGGGACACTGAGCAGGAACTGGAATCCAGCTCTTGTTGTGGCCTAAGACCAGATTCAAAGGTGATGCGTACCAGTTCCCATCTCGAAATCGGCCTGGATACATTTTATTTGGCAACGGTAGAGCTGACCAACTCATGTATTTCCCCTGAGTAATGATTACAGGGACCGGAGGAAATCTCTCCGGGATCAAGAGATTTGGGGTCTGGCTATGAATCAGTGTCCCACATGTTGTGACGATGTCACCCTGGTGCCCTGGGGCGTGGGCTCTGAGTCTGGCAGACTGAGTGTCTCCTGTTGTGAACATCTCCCTGCAGTAAATATTCTGTAGTTCGTGGTCTAGCCAGCTCGTCAGAGATGGTTGACTGCTCTGAAAGCCAGCTGCAGCTGCCCTGCTCACCCATACTCCCACTTCCCTCCATGGAGCAGATTTCCTCTGGCTGGAGCCAGAAGTGTTCCTTGAGCAGGGAAGCATCTAGAGTTTAATGAGTTGAGGGTGCGGCCCCACTCCCAGCAACCTGAGCCAGTGGAGACAGCACAGAAGAAGGCTGTCCTTCTGAACCTCAGAGGCAGTAGAGATGACAGAGATGAGGCCACGCTTCCAACAGGGAGCCTGTATCCTTTGTGAAGCTCCTGCTTCACAAGAGGGGAGAAAGAAAGAGGATAATTTAGGAGGCAATGAGATTACCTCAGACATGATAAATGAATCACAATTGCAGTTTCTTGTGAAATGTCTCTGAGAGTTGATTTCAGGGGAGAAGGTGAGGTGAGTGGGCCCTCTCAAAGCCAGACTTTTTTCTGTTGACTTGTCAACACTCAGTGTACTGTAAATCAGCACAAATTAGAATGTGCTCGCCAGTCTTGCCACTAAAGGGACGTGAGTAGATCAGTTCTCAAGCTCATCTATAGATTATCTCCCTTTGAAGGGCAGCTGCTTTGGCATGATTCACTCTCACCATGGTAAATGGCCACAGGAAAGATTGGCGATCTCAGGTTGCTGCCATTAGAATCCACTTCTGTGGGTTGGCATCCGGCTCCTAGACCAAGGGACAAGGAGAGCTGGTCCAGATTCCTCATTGGTTCAAAGTAGCACAAACTATGGTGTCACAAAGGCCACTGTTTTTAGATGGATGGAAGGCTGTTATTTATTTATCTTTATATGCCCTTCCACACATAAACTCTGAACACACACACACACACACACACACACACACACACACACACACACACACA